CTCACAATTGCATGAGAAGGCCGCATTGTGCCAATAAATTTCGCTCAGCTCTGCCTCCCAAAAGTCTAACTCAGACTCGCAATTTCATCCTTGTGTTCTATACCCGGTCTTGTTGTTTCTTGAGCAAATAGTGTATTTAAGGCTAGTTGGGCCTCACAAAAATAACATTTTATGGTGGGACTGTCGGATAAATAAAAATGTGCTTAACATTGTATCTTATTTATTTAAAATATAATTTGTAAGGAAATAAGCGTATACTTGGATACGTTTAAATTGGTATGTAATACTACTTACTTTACGTGTAAATTTGATGGTTTGTATAAAAATGTAATAAATCAGCAAAATAATTATGTTTATTTTTAGACTTTCATTTGGGATAATAGACAAAGTCCCAAAAACTCGCTTTTTGTATAATCTGGTGGGGTGTAAATATGAGTTGATTTTATGAGGTGGTGCAAAATTATAATTGGATTAAATCACCCTAAAAATAAGTATCATATTTATTTAAGATATAATTTGCAAGTAAAAGTAGTTTCCTAGACTTTCAGTCTTTCCTGAATAAGAGCTTAGTCGGACCAATTCACCCCATTTCGGTTAAGGTTATAAGGGACTGGTAATGGAATTTTCTTGCACAAAGATATGAAAATACATTTTAAAAAAGAAAGTAAGGATATATGAAATTTAATAAAAATGTAAAGTCTACTCATATCATTGTGGGAAAAATTCAACTTCCATTCGACTTATCACCTTAAGCAATATAGGCCGAATACACTTCATATAGAAATGAGCTACTGGTAGCCTCAAAAACCTACTTATACGAAAAGCATAAGTCAATTGAGCCGAGTTAGGGACTGATCATTGAGCTTTACTATCCAGCTAGCAATAAATAAAATCATCTTCAGCTTAGTTCTGATGTTAGAATTAGTTGTATGCGATGTATTCATACAATTTTGGTTAAGGCGAGGAAGGACTAGTAGAAGAATTTTCCCACAATAATATGAGTATAGCTGACATTTCCATTGAATTTCACATAGCCTTGCTTTCCCTAAAGTTGTTCTTATCCAGGCAGAAGTGGATTGCAGTTTCGACCAACTTTTAGGAAAGCAAAGCTCTGTGAAATTCAATGGAAACGTCAGCTCTACACATATTCTTGTGGGAAAATTCTTCTACCAGTCTTTCATCACCTTAACCGAAATGTGGTGAATACATCTCATATTAATGATTTACTGCTAGTCTCAAAACAATACTCAAATGCGAAAAATAGAATTAGTTAATTAATCTCTAAAACTACTTATATGTCAAATAAGTAACGACTTTGCAATGGCAGACACATGTTTGCTTAATTGAAAATCTCGCCATAAAATGTCATCTGGTTGAGGTCAGATTTGCCTTTTAGGTCACTTCTGCCCTGCGACCAACTGGCAGTTGTGGCTGTGTAATACAATATTGACGTTGCCACGATACTCACGACCGGCGCCTGAATTTCGTTGGAGCGCTGATGAGTAAACTCAAATATCCTTGCTTAAACCACTTCAACTGGCCTAGGTTGACTACGCTTTCAATTTTCTCCAAACTTGACTCCACTTCGTTGTTTATTATGTCTTTTTTTTGTTTTCGATTCGCGATAGGATTCGAAGATCGAGACGTACAAGAAGATGTGGGAGTTTATGTCGAAACACGAGAAGGAGGTCTTTGTGAATAGCACGCAAGACGGAGTGACCAAGGTGCGTCAGGGCAACTACGCCTTCATCCTCGAGTCTACCTGGAATGAGTACTACGTCCAGCGGGACTGCCGGCTCATGCAGGTCGGTGGAATGCTGGACTCTAAAGGATACGGGATTGGACTGCAACAGGGTAGGTTGATAGTATTGGCCCGCTTTCTCATCCCCAAACGCCAGATTTTGCCTAGAACACATCAGATGAACATTTTATTGTTCATAGAGTTCATTCCGAGGCTCACTTTGTAGCCCATGCTTCTCGTATATGCATTATGCCCTCCATCTTGAGTCGCATAACTCTGCAGCTCCGCTGGGTTCGAGCGTGACGAAGGGTTTCTGGCATAAATGCCTTTGTAGTCCTTCTTTTAGTGTCGGCACCAAAGCCGCCATCACCACGACTGTTTGTAGAAACAAAGACACACCCTGAGTCGACGGGGGTAGGCAAACAATTGTTGTTAGATGGACTGAAATTGAGAAGAGTATTTATTTTATTCTGTGATTTATTGTGAGAAAATTCAGCCTCAGCTTAACCGAGCCAGACTGATTAAGTTCTTATTCCCTGATTGCGGAGAGTCCCAAAGCCTCTTCGCATCAAAAATTGATGAATAAAAGCTGTATTTATCCTACTTCGTTTAGGATGATAAGGTGACTGGTGGTTGCCTCTTCTCACAATGATATGAGTAGAGCTGACGATTCCATTGAATTTCACATAGACTTGCTTTCCCAACAGGTATTCTCCCACAGGCAAGAGTGAACCACATATCGGATCTTGCCTAAGTCTCATCAGCACTCTGAGTGGGACTCTAACCATGACAGTGAAGCGTATAATCTCGAAAAATTAACCACAATGTGACATTATCAAGATTGTCCTTTGGTCAAAGAAAGGATGTAAATTTCAAGAAAGATCAGGCATTTTCCCATATCACATTATGTGATGGGATTGTCGATGAGTTGTATTTGCTATAGCAATCGACTACGTTACTTATTTTTTCTTTATGATTAGGGTCTCGAGACTGCCAGTAGATGATATATGTGATATGTATGCATCCTTTTTGGTTTAGGATCGAAAGCTTGATTGTCACGGCGTCCCCCAAACCATGCATACCATGATATGATACACTGATGACGAGTCTCACAAAGATTGGCCAAAGGTCTAATTTGGTATTGGTGGTGCGGAAACCTACTTCCTATAAATACGAAGGATTAATACTTTAACTTTTTCACAATACATCGATTAGGGCTCACGAGGAGAGAGCATTTCACACAGTCCTACTTGCCATACGGAATACCCATCCCGACTGGACTGGGTTGTAAATTCGACTTCGCCCGCGACTCACCAACATCCAAAATGGCAATCTAAACGAGACGGGGCACCTAAAGTGACGACAGATGACCGTTCCGAGACAGCGGAAAGTGTGCTTGTTGGTGGGTTGCATACAGACCATCTGCGACTTTATCTGCTCTTCCAATCGGCGAATTTATCTCTTTTCGTCGTGGTTATTTTTCGCTAATTCTTGAATAAGGACTCGTACTCGTGACGAGTATGCTGCAATGACATCGGGAGGCTTATCCAATTCATTGTGAACAAATGGGCCAATCATTTCTTCGTCGTTTTATGCAACCTGAAATATCTACAGTTCTTATTCAAGATTTAGTGGGAAGGCAATTCTGAAGCAAAAGTGCTGGCAAAAGTTCAGCTTTAGCGATTGTGCAACTTTCACATCCATTTCAGCATATTACCACAAAAGTGCATGTGTCATTTTTTCATCTGCCAATTGGCATTCTTTTCAGGCTCAATATGGCGAGATCGCATCACTGAGGCCATTCTCAAGTTGCAGAAGCGACAAGAGCTC